GTAGAGGGCGGAATGGTAACCCCGCCCCCAAAAGATAGGACCCCATCCTAACCCCAGCCCCAACAGCGCCCAGCACACAGTAGGCATAGTGGCTGTTTGCTGGGTAGGTAATGACTCAGTGCTTTGCTCAGCTGTTTCAAGGTTATTAAAAGTTTCAAAGTCAACTTCATATTGGTGGGACCACAGTGGGGCCAAAGGGAACCAGCCAAAAGCAGGGTTTGGGTAGATCTGGTCCTCCCGTTGGAGGGGCGCTTACAGAGGCGCCCGCTGCTGCCAAGAAAGGGTTAAACCCTGGCCAGCCCGGCCTGGGTGCTCTCCAGCCTGCCCCGCCCCATTACCCTGCCTCCAGCTGAGATTAGGCCATTAGTTTACTCATAAACAGGTGGCACACTCCACCTGAGCAGCAGAGATAAGGCCATTTCCAAGCTGCAGCCCTGCGTGCTGCTCTGCACCCCAGCCCGCCCGCCGTCTTGGCCTCAGCCGCCCGGGGCTTGTCCTTCAGGCAGTTGCTCTGTCCTTTGGAAACCCCTAGGTTTTTATTAAGACTTTGGGGGTCCTGGCCGGGTGGCTCAGTTGGTTGGAACATCATCCTGTGTACCAAAGGGTTTGGGGTTCAATTTCTGGTCAAGGCACATACCTAGGTTGCAGGTTTGATTCCCAGTCAGGATGCATATGGGAGGCAACCATCCCTCCTGGCATGTCCAGTGTCCCCCTCAATGCGCCTCCCTAGTGATGCATCAGGACTCATCAATTTTCCTGTACTCTGATCTGACTCCCCATCAGGCAAACTTAATCAATCCTGGTTGCCCGATGGATCAGCTGATACCGAACCAATGAGAAATTATATAAATACTAGAGGCCCGGTGCACGGATTCATGCACTGGTGGGGTCCCTCGGCCTGGCCAGCACCCTCTCGTAATCCAGGACCCCTCAGAGGATGTTGGAGGCCCAGTACATGGATTCAGCCCAATCCCTGCAGGCCAGGCTGAGGGATCCCACGGGTGCACAAATCTGTGCACCGGGCCTCTAGTATGCATATCAGATCTTTGCTTAATCTCTTCTCGCCCTCCCCTCTCCCCCCTTCCCTCTGAGATTCATCAGTCTGTTCCATGTTTCCATGCCTGTGCATTGAGTGTCTGCCCCTTGGTGGTCAGAGTGCGTTATAGCTACTGGTCGAACGGTTGAACGGTCGAGCGGTCGCTTAGGATCTTTTATATATATTTATCAAACATTGTACTAGTGGCTAGATCTCTGGGAGGTCCTATTTGGCATAAATCACACCCCCCAGGACCAAGGTGGTTCAAGGGGACGGAATTCACCTGGAAGTCAGGAACCTTGAGCCGAGGTTTAGCTTAAGTAGTGGCGCTCCACCACTTCCTGCCTGTGCGACCTCCTTCAGTTACTCTCTCTCTCGCAGTCCGCATTTCCTCACCTGCGGAAGATGGGCTCAGGCGGAGTTCCCTGCAGATGAAGACCGGCACGGAGGCACGTCTGCGGGGACAGTGCTGAGTGTTGCCAATGCCTCCCCGCTCCCAAGCAGTGAAACCCAGTCCCGTAGGTCTTCCCGTCCCCAGTCTCGGACAAAATGTCTCTAAGTATTTGTGGCCCATCCCCCCTTCCTTCCCCTTCACTCCTCAACCACATGCCCCCAGGGGATTCTGGAGCAGGCTCATCTCCCACAGCCCAGGCTCGGCCAAGCCCAATTTCTTCATCCAGGATCAATGATTTCTTCTTCTCCTTGCCTTAAAGAACAATAATGAATCACTCGTCAGCCCACAGCTTTTCTATTATCCCCGGCCTGCCTTTGGATTTCCTCTTTGGCTGTGTAATTGGCCTTTACAATATCCTTTCCGCGCTAACAGAAATGAAGCCCTCGGGAGGAGGGGCTGGAGGACGCCTGGCCTCCTGGGCCAGGAGTTTGGGGAGTCCTTGACTCCTACTGCTCCCTCACCACCACCACCACCGCCACCGCCACCACCGGCAGCTCCGGTCACCAAGTCCTGCTGCCCTTTTCTCTTAAGAATGTCCTATATTTTACATGTATGTTGTGCTTTGAGGCACACTCCCCTGCCCTCTCCCCATAGAACTTAGACTGTGATCCAGGGCTGGAGGCTTGAAGGTAGGTGGCTTGAGGATGAGTGTGTAAACCAGTGGTTTGGAGACCTCTGTGCACTTGGTTGACTTCTACTGTCCTTTGGCTCAGCCTCATCTCCTCCAGGCAGCCTCCCTGGGCTCCCAGCACACAGGAAGCCCTCTCCTTAGACCTTTTACTGGTGTTGGGGACCATGTCTTCAATGCAACGCCAACCTGCAGGAGCTAACAAATGCAGTGTCCACCCCCAGCACAGCACACGGAACTGACCTCTCAGGGGGTGGATACCCAGACCTCTCGCCTCCATGCCCTTTCTCCATCCCTCTCTTTCATGGTTTCTCAGAGGAAGAGAAGCCACAAGGGGAGCCAGAGCCAGCCGTGGAAGCTGACCCAGGAGACCCCCTTCTCAAGCTGGGCCCCACGCTCCAGCAGCGTGACCAGGCGCCTCTTGCACCTCCCTTTCCGGGAGCTCCTGGCGCTGCTACCAGGAACTGCCCGAGCATCACCGACAGGAGTTGGCAGGGTCTCTGTGTTGTCAGAGAGCAGACATCCTTTCATGGCTATGCCCATGGCATTCTGGGCTGAAGAATGGCGGCTGGAGTGTAGTGGGCCTTGGTTCTGAATGGCCACCTCCTCCCAGGAGGCTGGTCTCTCTTCAGGACCCTCACACCCAGGCCCTACCCAGCCCACACCTACCAGGCCTCCCGTGACAAAAGAGGGGCGTCAGGAGCAGGCAGTGACATTATCAGGGGAGACGGTGGGATTGCAGAGTCCACTCGGGCACATGTGGTAGCAATGGGATCAAGTGTGATAAAAATCCTGGCCCGGCTTCAGGGACCTGCGACTGAACTCTGCCTGTGACCTCATCTCCCTGGTGACATTGATGGGGTCGCTTCCCAGACTCAGGCTTCCCTTCTGTGCAGCAAGGCATCAGCCTATCCCAAGTTTTCTAAGGCCTCACACTCTGACACTATGGCCCTCCTCCTCCCCCCCGCCCCACCCAGCTACCCCACCCACACCCACCTCCATGGCCTTGAGAATCAGGCTCCATGCGGCAAGGACTCCCCAGGAAAGAAGCAGAGGCGGTTCCAGGGAGCCCCTCGTTTCCTCTTCCCAGGTTCCCTCATTTGGTCTCCGGTGGTCAGTCCTGCTCTCCTCAGTGCTCGGTGCAGCGGATAAGAGTTTCGGCCTTGGCATCCACGGATCTGCGTTTGAATCCTGGCTGTGTCCCTTCATCAAGTTACAGAATCTCTCTCCAGGCCTCAGTTTTCTCTCCTCTGAAATGGACACAACAGTATTGATCGCATTGGATGGTTTTGAGGATTAGATGGCACCGGGCAGTTCAAGTCCTAACACAAGTCTGGCACACGGTGAACCCGCAGTGAGTGCTGCTGTCCTCATCATTAACGTCATTGTCATCACCTCTCCTCTGCTACTTCCGGGAGAGAGCCCTGCAGGGCATGAGGGGGCAGTGTGTGTGGCCTGTGCGCGGCCTGTGCAGGAGGCCAGGGGGTCCTGGCTTGAACCCTCTGTGTGCACATCCGAGGAGGGGAATCTAACTAGAAGACCTCCAGTTTCCACGCGTGACTCCCAGCATGCACTGTGCCAGGCACCCCTGCGAATCGCCCATGCACACACTCGTGTGCTCTTGTGAGGACAAAAGCGCGCCCTCTGCCTGGCACTCGGCTCAGCGCCTGCCCACAGCCCTCGGTGACCTGGAGCCCACGGTACTGCTGTGCCCACCAGCAGCATTAGCCACGTCAGAGGCTGCACTGCGGTGTGTTGCGGTGCAGGCGTCAGAAGACCCGGGTGAAAACAGTCTGGGGACTTCAGGCAAGTTGCTCAACCTCCCTGACCCTCAGTCTTCCCGTCTGTTAATGGGCAGGCCCACCCTTCAAGGGGTTGAGGAGGGTTAAATGACCCAGGCGCAGTTATGAGGACCACGTGAGCTGTCAAGACTGGGTGATGCCCAGCCTGTAGTTTGTGCCCAATAGATGGGCTCCTTCTACGTGCCTACCCCATCCCTGCAAGCCCCCCTCCTTCCCTTGGGGCCTTTGTCCTGTCTGCACACCAGTGTGGGAGGGAGGGAGCTTGCACCCATTCTGCCTCGCCTGCGGTCCCTGAAGCTTCAACTGCAGGCTGTCCTTGGCCACCTGTTGAGTGGACCAGCGGCCCAGGAACAGGGAAAATCACAAGGAAGGGACGCACACAGTTTTCTGTTGGTTTGTTTTAATCAAAAAGAAAATAAGAAAACGGAAAAACACTTCCCAGGGTGTGCTGTGAGGAAGGATCGCAGGCATGTAAAGTACATATGGAAGCGTGTAAAGTACATATGGAAGCGTGTAAAGTACATGTGGAAGCAAGAGCAGTCCCAGGAGCTGCTCTCGGACCTGGTGGGAGCGGGCCCTCCGAGAGGCCTGTTCTGACACTCACACCTCGGGCTGTGAAAGGGAAGCGGGTCTCCGGCCTGTTTCTCTTGGAAGGCTCAGCCGCCGCCCGCTCACCGGTCCATGACGTGCACACAAGGAGTGGTCTTTGCGAGGGTTTGTGGGTGGGGGAGCACCAGGTGGGGGCTGGGGGTGCACCACTCCTGTCCCTGCCCTGCGGGAGGTCTCCGGGTCTGGGACAATGGTGCCCCTCTGAGGGTGCATGGCCTGGGCTTCCCGCCCCCAGTGGCGGCGGAAGGAGTGCTGCAGGGAAGCTGGGGCCACAGCATGACTTGGACCAGGATGGCGTGTGCCCGGGGCTGGTGCTAAGTTCTGAAGGACGGCCAGAGGCAGTGGGTATGCTCGTCGCAGCCAGCTTTCACATGGACCTTCACACGGACGCTGCTCAGTCAATCCCTCCACCCCTCCCTCCATTGGCCCCCAAAGTGGGGATCCCCCAGGACCTGACTCTTGGCTCTGCCACTCACCAGTTTGTATGACCCAGTTTTCTCACCTGTAAAATGAGGACCTTCATAGGACCCCCACAAGGTAGCTAGATAGTAAGTGTGGCTAGGCCTTCCGAACCTAGTACGGCTCCAGGCACATAGTAAGTGCTCAACCAAGGGCTGCCTTGGTGACTGTCACTCAGGCACCAGCATTTCCAGTGCCAAGTTGTGGGTGTGTGTCCAGGTATGGGTGACACGGAAGGTTGACACCGGGTTCCGGAAACAGGAGGAATTGCTCTGAGCCTCCTGTGTCTGTCTGGGCAGCTCGGAGGTGTCTGGGCAGCCGGGGGACTCGGGCACGTCCATGTGGCTCAAGGACTGTGCAGTCCTAGACCTCGGTGCCCTCCCGGGGGTAGAGGACGCTGTTCGCGTTGATGCTGTTGTAGAAGTGGGGGCTGAACTGGTTGAGGACGGAGCCTCCGTAGCCCAGAGTGTTGGTGGGCATGGGGTTGGCCCATTCGCTCCCGGCCCCGTGGCCGCCGAGGCTGGTGAGTGGGGTGTAGGAGTTAAAGTTCCCCAAGTTCTGCCCCATCTTGTCAGTGGGCTCGGGACTCAGTCCCGGCGTGGCCACAGGGCGGCTGGCGGGGCTGGCCCCGCTCACGTAGGACGTCATGGAGGAGAGGAAGCCGTTGAGGCATGGGGTGCCCGGGGGCCCCGGGGACGGTCGCTGCTCGGGGGAGCCGGCGGAGCCCGGGGAGGTGCCTTCCAAGATGTCCTGGGCGTCGGCGCTCTTGGGGCTGCCCGCCAGGAGCCCGCTCTCCGTCTTCTCCCCAGGGCCTGAGGAGACGTCCGACTTCCTCTTCCTCTTCCTGCGGAAGTTTCCGTTGTCGAACATCTTCTCACAGTTGGGGTCCAGGGTCCAGTAGTTCCCTTTGCCTGTGCGAACGAAAGCGGGGGAGGTGAGTGGAGAGACGGACGCCGTGCTTTGCTCTGGTTCCTCCCACTGTCAAGTCAAAACACAGGGAACAACCCAGAAAGACAGAGAACAGAAGTCGGAGACTGAGAAGAGAGAAGGGTTCCAACCCCTCACTGCTCAGAGCTCAAAGACAGACAGGCAGGGGCTGTGACCTTGTTCACACAGAATCTCAGAAGTTCAAGTACTGGAGGTAGAATGGGGGGGAGGGTGGGATGAGGGAGAACACTTGGGAAAAAAGGCAGGGCTCCCCCAAAGTCCCGGGCATGGAGTCCAAAGATGGACTTGAGTCTCCACTTTGCTCCTCCCTGACTGAGGGGCTCTGGGCGAGCCTCAGTTTCCTAGTCTGAGAAGTGGGCCTGTTGTACCAGCCCTTCGTCCTCAGGCTGAGTGGAAAGGAAGGTGCTAGGTGTGACTGGGAAGTCCGAGGGCCCCAGGTTAGGTCTGAACTCTGCCTGCCTGTCTGTCTCTGGGCCCGAGGCTACGGCCGGCTATTGAAGGGACACACACTGGCCCCCTTGCTAGTCTCCAGGTGGGTGGAGCTTGTCCCCCTCCCCACACTGTCTCCTGGCTTCCTGCGATGGGGCCAGAGCGGACTTTCATTCTGGGTGAGGAGACGTGAATATTCAGTACGCTACGCTCCCTACATCTCCGCGTTGGAGAAATTCACCATTGAAAGGACAGGTCCGCAGTCTGGTGTCAGAGGCCTGCATTCAGGACACATTCCAGCCAATCCCTCCATCCTGCCGAGCGGGCAGGTGTCTCCCGCCTGCTACTTGCCTTATCTGTAGAATGGGTTTCCTGAAAGCCGCCCCGCAGCGGTGGATGAAAGGAGGTGATGCAATCAGGGCGGCAGCAGAATGCGGCCCTTGGTGGCTGTTCAACAAACGCCCCGTCTCTTCCCAGCAGCCCCAGGACCCCCTGGGTTTCCATTTCAGTCTCTCACCCCCCAAGGACTCATGACGAGCTGCTGCAGGGGGTCCAGGCCCATCAGCCACCACTGCAGACCACGGGGCACCCCCGGGCACCACAGCCTGGGATGCATGACCCCGTGCCCTGGCCACAAGCCTTCGCAGGAGGCACGGTTACCATCCCTGCTTTTCAGGTGGGGAAACTGAGGCTCGGGGATCGAACCAGCCCAAGGTCATGGACTGGGCAGTGGCCCAGCCAGGATGGAAACTCCAAGTTGCCCCCAGGGTCCCGGGTCTCCTTCACCACTGACTCCCCTCAGCACCCCCAGTTCTGGGGGGCACGGTCAGATTTAGAACTTTCCAGAAGGGGATGTGAGGAAGGCAGCGACCCTTCCCTGGGCACCAGGGGCTGCGGATGCAGCGGCCACCACGCCTACACGTTACCTGGGTCGTCCTCGTCGCGGGGCACCTTCTTGAAGCAGTCGTTGAGCGACAGGTTGTGGCGGATGGAGTTCTGCCAGCCGGCCTTGCTCTTGTTGTAGAAGGGGAAGTGGTCGGCCACGTACTGGTAGATCTGGCTGAGGGTGAGGCGCTTGTCGGGCGCCCCGTGGATGGCCATGGCGATGAGGGCCGAGTAGGAGTAGGGTGGCCGCACCAGCTTCATCAGCTCCTCCTGCGACGGGATGGGCAG